AGAAAAATGTTAACATATATCCATGTGAACACGTGTACATACGTGTTTATAACAGCATATTCACAACAGCCAAAAAAAGTAGAAATAACCCAAATGGGCATCAATCGATGATTAGGTAGACAAAACGCAGCGTGCCCATGAATGGAATGCTTCCAGCCACTCAAGAGAAAGAATTACTGCCAGGCGCAGTGACTTAAGCCTGTAATCCCAGCACTTCGGGAGGCCGAGGCGCGGGGATTGCCTGAAGCCCATGGGTTCGAGAACAGCCTGGGCAACTTGGTGAGACCTTGTCTCTACAATATATCAAAAAATTAGCCGGATGTGGTAGCACGTGCCTATAGTTCCGGCTATTTGGAAGGCTGAGGTGGAAGGATCACCTGAGCCCAGCAGGTCGACTGGCCGGGTGGTGGAATGAGTTTCCAATTAAAAAAAAAAAAAAAGAATTACTGACACAGCTGCACCATGGATCAACCTCGGACACTTGATACTAAATGAAAAAGCCAGCCATAAAAGACTACATATTGTGACATTCTGGGAAGCAGGATAGTGGTTGCCTGGGCTGGGTAGGCGGTGGGCAGTGGGAGTGAGTGCTGACGGGCACCAGGCTTGCGTCCGGGTCAGTGACAATGCCGTAGAATCGGATGGCAGACGTGGTTGCACAACTCAGAAGATCCTAAGAAAACACTCATCACTGAACTGTACATTTTAAGGAATGACTTTTGTGGCCTGTGGGTCACACCTAAAAAAATGAAATCACCCAGGTGACTTTCTCCTCAACACTGATTCTAGTGTTCCAAACCCAGACTCCAGACCAGAAGTTATGGGGCGAATGAAGCCCAAGTAAGTCCACCGGGGGTTGACTTTGCCAGTCCCACCCCTCCTGGCCTTCTCACCATCATGGGCGCTGGGGGCCCTCCTGAGCACAGCAGCCCTTCCTGCTGCCGGGTCTGATGGGGAGACCGCAGGAGGCCTCCCTCACAGACTGGCTGCCACTGTGCACCTGCAGCAGGTCACAGAGCAGAAGGGCTGGGCCGGGCTGAGGCCGTCACCCCATGTCGCCACATGTTTCCTTTCGAAGACGAGTTTCTCGGGAAACCAGATAGAGTTTTAATTGCCAGCTCTGCAATCGAACAGAACGTTGTCTTCCAGGTTCCTCAGGAACCTGCCTCACGTATCACATATGCACACGCAGACACTGCAGGACACAAGAGGCCCGTGTGGGCGGGCGAGAACTACAAGGTAAAGCACAGAGGCGGGCACAGGACTTAGGGTTTGCAAGCCGCTGATCCCTCCTGGGCTGGCCCCCCACCTTTTGTGGCTCTGGGTGGGCCACCCCCAACCCGCATGTCTCTCCAGAACCCGAGCTGAGCAAGACATGGTGCCACGTGGTAAAGGCTGTCACCAACCAGAGGTCCTTTTCCTGGGACCACAGCCTGTCTCTCAGGCTTTGCACAATCAAGGACACGGGGCTCTTCCAGTGCAGGGCGCTGGGAGGGCAGGTCTGCGACTCAGCCAGACACCATAGCAAGCTGTGCCGTGGAGTCTGTACCCGAATACCAGATTATGACCCCCAGGGCATCCGACCCCACCCAGAATGACCCACCCACCACCTTCCCTGAGATGCAAGACACGATGGCCCCCTGGAGCTGCCGCCTTCCTCTTGACAAGTGCCACCATGAACCCACACTGGCTCTAGGCGAATGGAGATACAGGTCACATGCCGCTGCTGCCAGCCCTGGACAGTCTGAGCCGTCATCCACCCCTGGCTGGCTGCAGCCGCGCATGGTCACAGCCAACCCAAGCACCAAGGCCGTTCTGTGGCCCACTCTGCACACTGCACAATGACCCGCACCACCGGCTTCGTAAGCACCACTGTGCACATGCCATAGCCTCCAGGGGGAGTGGCCAGTGGGCATCGCTGGGGCCATCACACCACCTGCTGTGGAATGACCTGAGACGCTCATTTCAGGCGTTGTTGAAGCCATGAGAAAATGGTTGATCTCTCATGAGAGACACCCCCCTGTGGGTGGACAAGAACACCCACTAGCACCACTGTCACAGTGCCCAGCCATCCACAGGAAGGTCAGCAGCTCTGGGACCACCCCAGCCCGTCTGGGTGGGGTTCCCCCACACCCTGCCACCCTGGCTCTGGGCACCTCCCCCACCCACCGTGGCTCTGATCCCCAACCGTAGATCTGGGCAGTCCCACCTGCCATGGCTCTGGCTTGGCCCCTTACCTGTTGTGGCTCTGGGCGGGCGCCCCCACCCCTATGGCTCTGGGCAGCCCTCCCCGCCCACTGTGGCTCTGAGCGGGCACCCCTCTGCCCGTGGCTCCTCTGCTCCATGGGGGCGGCACGGGCTCTCAGGGGGACTCAAGCAGGCAGCCCCTGTCTGGCGCCCCCAGGGACGGTACAAGTCATCGTCACAGGGAAGCCAGCCCTGCTCCCGTTACTTGCAGGCACTTTCAGGGATCTTGCCAAGATCTTCCCTCCAATCCAAACACCACACACAGTGCTGCTTCTGCGTCAGGACTCGGTTCCCAGGAGCTCATGCACACCCCCATCCCCGCCAGCACCCTGGCCACAGGGCGCGTGTCCATCCTGTTCTGTCCCAGGAATCCTTTCTTCCCCTCGCTGCCCTGAGTCTGGAAGACACACCCTGCACACCCTGCTGCCTGTGGCCAGGGCTTCCCCTAGAGGAGGACCATGACCCTCAGGCAGGCACTTGAAATGCGACTCCTTAGAGCCTCGGATGCACCGATGCACCGAGTGGAGGTTCAACTCGTGCCTCCCAGGACTCCCCAAATCACAAGCCGTGTCCTGCTTCATTCTCAGAAAGGTGGTTCTATGTTCCCAGAACACCAGCAGCTGCAAAAAAGCCCAGAATGCTGTTTTTCTTTTGTGGCACACGCATGCCACACATTCTTAGACATGCTCTGGGAGAGTCATTCTACTGCTCTTTTGACAAAGTGCCATAATCACTGGCACACGAATTGGTCAACACCTACCTAGGGTGGCAGATGAATAACGGCACAAGGAACTGCTCTTAGATGTCTGCCTGCCAGGGTCTCTGGACCCCATGAGAGCAGGCGAAGGGGCGTCACCAGGGCTGAGGTCAGATGGAGGCCTTCGGCCCAGCGCAGCCCGGTGACCACACGCCCTTCCTTGGGGCCATGCCATGAATGACACCCCACCACTATGGCCATGCTCATGGCACTTAGCAAGTCCCACCTGGGATAGGCCAATTTTTGGTACGAGAAGAGAACAAAAAATACCACTTGGTGGAGGGAAAACTAGATGTTATTCACTGAGAACAAACCAGACCTGAAACGACCCTTCACGTCAGAAATGAGTCCCAGACCACGTGGTCTATCGGCCACTGCTGGACCCTCCTCAAGCTGCTGGACCTCATGGTGTGAAGTCGCACTGCCTCTTGCAGGTTAGTTGTGGGCCCACAAGAGCCAGAACCCCCAGGGCCGGCAGGCCCCGTGCCCCAGGAGGCACCGACGCTTCTCTTTGCTCCCGCCTTGGAACCGCCTGTGCCTGAGCAACTGCCCTCCCGTCCGGCCTTCTCTGAGCACACGGATGCACCCTCGCATGCTACCCGGGATGCGCCAACAGCCCACATCTTGCAGGAGGAGGAGTTCGGCCCCCGGAGCGGGTGGGCCTCGGGGAGGGTCAGGATCGTCTGTCAGACTGCTCTGCTGAAAAGGAAAGCAAGAGCCAGGCAGACACACATACAGAGGACCGGCCGGCATGCTTTTCATGCTGCCCTGTGTGCATGCGGCCACGAGAGTCACGGAGGACGTGGCCTTCAGTCATACCCGGTGACACAGTCAGAACCTGTCTGGAGATGAAATGGGGCTGGACAAGCAACAGGACAGGACCTTAGTCCAAGTTGAGAGATGGTCCCTCTGTGCACATCTACGTTCTCTCACTGATGTACTAATATCCTACCCAGGTAGAGAGCAGCAGCAGCAGCATGTCACCACAGGACACGATGGCCCTGAAACCATCAAAGGACCACAGGAACCAGCACTCAAGACGCAAATCACCATGCAAAAGGCAATGGCTCGGTGGCCTCACGCAAACGAGTGTGCACAGCACCAGGCAGGATCCACAGGGCCAGACAGGAATGTGAACAAGCCCCTGGGGGTAAAGGAGCACCCATCGTAGGTGCAAGGCTCAAGAAGACACCCAACGGGACAGGCACCCACAGGCGGCCTCCGATAACTTCAGAAAGAAGGCTGAGTTCACGCTCGTAAATTAAAAAGTGAGAGTTTCAAGAGTTAAAAAACAAGTCTGTGTTCAAACGGCAATGGAAGTTACCATGATGAGGAAGGAAGTTTGGAGTAAACCAGGGACTTGTCGAGTATGATAGAACACCACAGCACAGCCGGGCATGGTACTCAGGGGCGGGGTCCTCCCTGGATGTCCTGCCTCCAGCACCAGACCAAGGCCTGGGCACAGCCCGGGCAGCTGTCGGGTCAGATGAAACGAATGCGAGTAAAGCTCTCCCAAGTCATTTGAGAGCATGTGAATGTTCTCCATCTCCACAGCCCCCCAGCCCCGAGACCCTCAGCTCAGAGCTGCTTGGCCTGGCCGAGGGGGAAGAACGGTGCAGGTGTCTGTTAGGACGAGGGCTGCTGTGTTCACCTCCTGCTCTGGCAGAAGACGGAAGCCCAGAGGGAGGCAGCAAGCCAAGAGCAGTCCACACTTCACCTTGGCCCCAGCCCATGCCGTGCCTGGCCGGCTGCACCACACCCCGCTCCTCTGTGACCCGGCCAGGTACCCCCCAGAGCAGGTGGGGCTCCACGGCTGGGACCTTCTGGCTCCGGCCCTCTGGCCCAGCCTCTGACAGGGTAACCCGCCACCTTCAACCCTGTATCACACGACTGCAAGGCTGCAGACAGAACCGGCAAGGAAAGGTCATTTCCTCTAAAGTCCGACACGCAATGATGTCATCAATTCAAAAAGAAGGAGAAGAGAGAAACACCAGAGTCTTCTTTTCACTAGTTTTATTTGTATTAGGTAGTTTTCACTCAGAAAGTCTACCAGTCATTTTTCGGGCTGAGATGTATATATATGTCAGTTCATATGTATATAATCAATTAGAAACTTTATTTGGTATAATTTCACATTTTTGGTATATAGAAATAATTCTATTTTCTTAATGCAGCACAGTAGACATACAATCAGTATTATTCCCTAGAGTGTGCGATATATAAATTATTCACATTAAAAAATTAGAACAGAAAGCCTCATATGCAGAAAATATTTAAAATTGTACACCTAATTCTGAATCTGTTTTTGACGATATGCACGACTAGCTTCATAAATCTGCACGATGATGACATCTGGACGAGGACACACATGTCCACTCCAGACGCTCGCACTGAGGAGCCCGCGCCTCCCCTGGCCGCTGAGCCTCCCGGGGCCCAGGCGGAGGAGCCCCCAGGTCCTTCCGGAAGTGCATCTGCCATGTCGGCTGGGCGCGCACTTCTCCTACTCTCCTTTGTAGCGAGGAGGCCTTTTCTCCTTAAACGCGAGAAGACCTTCAAGTCTGTCTTTCGTTGGAATGGTCTAAGAAAAACAAAATTAGGGGCCAGAAATTAGAAACAACTACAAAAGCGTATCAAGCATTATCTAAGAAGACGACTTAGAAGCACGGTCCCACAGCTTTGAAGTCTACCAGCGAGCAGTTCTAGGTGTGTGACCAAGCCGCCCATTCGCACTCAAGCGACTTATCCATGTTGCTCTTTCTCTCTTTTCCCCGAGGTGCTCTTTCTTCCTGTCTGACATGGACATCCAACGCTGTTTCCATGGAACCACTACTTTCAGTATGTCCGTAAAGTTTGAGAGTTGTGCTTTCATTTTAATTCAAAATATGTTGTAATTCCTCTTGAGGCATCTCCAACACATACTGGATGCCGCCTAGACGTGAGCCATTTAGTCACTCCCCATTTGAGCTCGTCCTGCTAGCTTTCTCTTACTGATTTCTACTTTCATTCCACATGCTCTGACAGAATATGCTCTGTGACTGCAATTCTTTAACACTGGGGAAACAAATGTATGGCCACGTGCGCATTAAACTGCTTCTCTGGGCTCTGAGTAGTCTGCTCTGTTCCCAGGAAGTCTATAACTTCTTCCGTCGTGCAAGTGCCTGTCAGTGACAGGTCGTGACTTTCACACACAGACAGGCAGAACCACCCTGGACAGCACGCCTTGACATGGGAGCTGACGCAGCTGCCGACGCTCAAGAACGGCAGAACAAAACTTTCTCGCTACTTTAGATGCCTTAAAGTTCTATCTTTCGGGGGAAAAGAAAGAAAAACATTTCTGTCCTCCGAAGAACAACCCACTCATCTGTATACAGTCCTCCTTCGGTATCCAGGGGGAATGGGTCCAGGAACCCTGCAGGCATCAAGCTCCACAGGTGCTCAAGCCCTGGAGGTGAAAGGGCGAGTCCTGCAGGCAGCCCACGCACATCCCCCCACATACTGGATCAACCTGGATGACACCGACTGCGGCTGACAACACGGAACGCAACACAAATGCTGTTGACACAGATGGCGCGCTGTGTGGTCTGGGGACTAATGACAAGAAACAAGCAGAAACGGTCCGTTTCTTTCCCTGAATACGCCTGGCCTGCACTTAGCAGAACCCACACATGCGAGTCATTCCAACACCAAGGTCCAGCTGCAGAGAAAGCAAAACTCTGGCTTCCTGAGTGGACTTTGCCAGGCAGGAGAGGAGGTGCCGACGCCCAGGCACGTGGGGGGCCCGCTCATCAGGGAGTGGGACCGGGGCCCTCCGGCCCGGCACAGACAAAGGCTGGAGGCGGCCACACACACACGCTCGCTATTCGGCGTCTACAGATGAGAGCCCTTCCGCTGTGAGGCCGAGTCTGTTACAAGGGCTGGTGACATCTAGTAGCAGAAACACGAGTCCCAGCCCACTTGCACGATCTGGGATGGGCGTGAGGTCGCCTTGAATTCCACCCCACTTCTACGATTTGGGATGGGCGTGAGGACACTCTGAATTCTAACCTACTTGTATGATCTGGGATGGGCATCAGGTCACTGTCAATTCCAGGCCATTCACACAATCTGAGAGGAGAGTATGGGTACCTCGACTTCCAACCCACTCGCATGACCTGGCATGGGTGTGAGGACACCTTGAATTACGGCCCACTTGCATGACCTGGCACGGGTGTGACGACACCCTGCTCAGTGCTGTCAGTTGAATTTTGCAGGTGACATCCCTTGGAAAGTGCATCCTCGCAGCGCTGTGACCGCCTCACGTACCTGAGCATAACACGCTTCTTCTATGGCTAACCCAGTCACCAAGTCGACCTGAGAACGAAAACACAGCTCATTTCAGCAGCAGCAACTTTGTAACATACGGTGTATTCGACATACGCCCAAACTGAACAGCCCGATCCCATAAGCAGAGGCCCGTAGTGAAGTTCAGCGTGTCAGGGTATGGCCAGCATGCAAGGCTTGGAGCCAGGCCTCCTGGGCTAGCTCTGACTTGAGCATGCTGAGCTGGGCTACCCTGGTAAAGTCGCGTAGCCTCTCGGTGCTTTGAGCATGTCTGAACGGAGAGCTGACTGCTCTGCTCCCCATTGAGGATATTGTGGGGATTACATGAGTTAATCTGAGTGAAGCGTTTACGAAGCACCCGACAGACTGATACCAACAGCTGAGCATGCGCCAGGGTGAGTGAGGTGCTTGCTGTTGGCACTGTCACAACTACGTAAGCATTCCACCAAACCCATCAAACACTGGGCAGATTTGTGAAACTGCCACTAAGCCTCGACGATATAGTGGCTCTTGGGTTTCCGAGAAAGCAGCAGCTTTCTTCAAAATCCCCACTGTTTGACCAAAGCCCATCGAGAAGGCGGGGCGGGGGGTGGAGAGTCAGCTGGGAGCTCCCCGGGATAGCAGGACATGGACGCTAACATGCAGAATGCCCTTTCCTGGTGACTTTCTACGAACTACTGGCCAATAAATCTATCATCGTGATGGCAAAACTGCAGGTCTCGGTCAAACCCCTGACTCCCACCTGACTCCCATCACCAACAACCACAAGATGAAATCAGTGATGTACCAGGAGCCTCGCAGCTTCCGGCCACAGCAGCATTCACATGGCGACGTTTAGAACGTGAAAACAGTGCAGAAGTCCAAGCATGGCTCGTTTAAATTAGTGCTCCACACGCATCCAAAACAAGCTCCAGCATCAAGGGACTTACCTCCATCCCCTGGTTAATCGCTAGCTTTGCTACTCTCATTGCGACAGGCCCCTAAAATTCAAATGGAAGAAACAGACTTTGAATGACTATGCAAATGACACTGCACATCTCAGTAAAACCTGGAAATTCCCACGGCTGGAGCCCAGCACAGCCAACAGAGGGTATGGAACACTTAGGGGAAAGCATCCTAGCCCTGCAAGGTCTCCGTTCAACAGTACTGTGGCGTCCGTGCTGCATGAGCATGTTGCTTGCACACCACAGCATTCTGTTCCACAGCAGACTCACCCTCCATACGAGCAGGGAGGCCTAGCCATGGAGGGCTCACAACTCTCCCATGACTCTCCCAGGAGGGAGGAGGCACACTACCCACCATGGCTTGGACAGTCAATTGCGGGGCTCAAAGGCGGCATGCTGCAGACACGAGCTCTGCAGCCTCTACCAGCCCCAATCAGCACCTGCAGTGACAGTGAGTTCATGAGGTGTGTCCTCTGCCCCACAGCACACGTATGTCCTGTGTCCACGGATGTCTGCAGGATGGGCAAGGGTTGCAGAGGAAGGAGCCAGCCCTCCTCAATACAAAGGAAACCATCTCCTGTATCTTGTGCAAACTTCTCCCACACTTTTTTTGTGAGTCGCAGCCTTACTCCGTTGCCCAGGCTGGAGTGCAGTGGCACACCCATGGCTACCCCAGCGTTGACCCGCTGGACTCTGGTGATCCTTTCGCCTCAGCCTTCCAAGCAGCTGGAACTACAGGCGCATGCTACCATGCCCGGCTAATTTTTTATTTATTGTAGAGATGAGGGCACGCCAAGTTGCCCAAGCTGGTCTCAAACCCGTGGGCTCAGGAAATCCACTCACCTCGGCCTCCCAAAGTGCTGGGATGACAGGGTGAGCCACCAATCCCGGCCTCCCATATTTTACCACAGAAGCCACAGTCCCAAGATGGAATCCAGCCATCTGGACGTGAAGGAGGCACAAGGAGTGGGAGCGCCACCTGCGTCCCCCCAACACACACGGTGGGACTTCTCCAGAGGCGACCCCAAGGGAAGCCATTGCAGCCAGAGCCCACTCCGGATGGCAGTCACGGCCCCCTCCTTGCAAGAAAGCAGTGTATTTCCGTGTGCTGACTTAGGGGCTGGGGTGACAGCCCCCAGCCCTCCTGAAAAATGAACAAAGCAGCCTGCACTTGTGCTGCATGCTGTCAGGGGACGCATCGCCAGGCAGGGTTGCGGGCGACTCTCAAGGGTCTGGAAGCCCCTGGGCTCTGAGGGTCCCTGAGGTGTGGCTGGGATGTTCCTTCCAGCCCGACTGCGCCTTCCTCCGAGCAGGCCAGTGACATCTCAGGCACAGAGGTGACTGGGGGTTGTCCGCGTGTCCCAAAGTCACAGAGAGTGAGGAACTGGGCTTAAGGAGAGTACCTGAGGCAAGAACTCCCTGGCCAGATCCAGTGCCTTCCGGTAGGCCGCGTCCCCCTCCGGGTTCTGCTCCGAGACGTGGCTGACCAAGCCCACTGCTCTGGCCTCCTGGCCATCGAGGACACGCGCTGAGAAGATGAGCTCCTTGGCCAGGGACATCCCAATGGCACGTGGCAGTCGCTGTGTCCCCCCTGGGGGCAGAGGAGAGAGAAATGCAGGCAGTGGTTTTGCACCTTCCAGCTTAACACTTCGGTGTTTTATTTCTTCACTTACAAAAAGAAACCAGGGCCAGAAGCTCCTATGTCGAAATTAGCAGTTGGAAAAGGACTTCAAAACAGAACAGAACTTCGTAATGCCTTATGAAATCAACATCATCAAAAGGGCACTTGCGAACCCTCCACCACCATGAAGTGACTGGGCACTGGATGCCACCTGCAACAGGGCCGGGGTGCCCGGAACCCCACCTGCCTCACCACTGTGCTGGCGAACAAGATGGCAGCTGTGTACAGGTGAGACTACCGGCGAGAGCGCCCCTCGGGTCTGGTGTCTTTCCGTTCAGATGCAAAGCAACAGAGTCTAAGAAACGCAACCCTAGCCCTTTCGAAGAACCTGTACGGTGAACGCACTGTGAACTCAGCACTGCTCCTGCCTCGCCTGTCGCCCAGTAGGTCTAAATTACCCTCTCCTCCCCTTCTGAAGACACCCTCTTACCCACAAGCATCCCCTCCGTCCGGTGTGGGCAGAACGCAACGCCCTCAGTGCAGAGGCAGAAGCCGAGCATCTGGCCTTGACTTCGCCACTTACCACTGCAGGGACTTGGTTAGCTTCGAGGGAAGAGGGGCGGGTTCGCACGCTGCAGGGAAAACTCGGGTCAGAGCAGCTCTGTGGCAGAGAAGCTGTTCTGCTGACGGCTGCCCGGCGCACTGGACCCATCCACTCACTACAGCATTGCACACACTTCTAGTGATGAGGCCAGACCTCATCAGGCAGAAATGGACGCCAGCAGGCAATGGAGCTCCGGCCTCAATTCTACCAAAAAGAATATGAAAACAGCCGCAACACTAGGATTCGTCCAAATCCCACCCTCGCCTCGGCCGCTGACCCACCCAGGGCACTAACAGCCAGGAGGCAGAGAAGCGGCGACTGCCAAGTTCCAGCGGACAAAGAGCAAAGGGACAGTCCATCGTCCACACACGCTCACTGCGTCTCACCTGGCCCACAAAGTTTACACCCTGTCTTTCTGCGTTAGTTACCAACATCTGAAACTGGATGAGCGATTCTACTCTAAACCCAACTTCCACCTGGAGGTCAACCGCAGCCGCGCCGTTGAGATGCGGTGTCTGCCAGGTTGCCACAGTCTCCACACTCTCTATCCCACCAATATGTCAGATTAAGAAGTCTAGCTTTCCTATAAAAGGATTTACAGCTCTCTGCGAAGTGGGGAAAAAAATATAGACCCCTAGTTTCAAGAAGGCCTAGTTCCCTTTGGTAATAAGAAAATTCCTCCACATTGAGCACAGTATGCCTGAGTTGGAAGAACAGAGCTTAAGATGCCAGTACTAAGCAAGCCACATTAAGAGCCATAATCAGTATTTATAAAATACGGTATTAAAAAACCCCAAGCAAAACCTCAATGAAGTGTAAAATGACTGACACTTTCAACAGAGATGACTTACAAACATAAATAAAACAGGTTAACACTACTGTAAAATGCACGTTTACATTAAGTGTTTAAGCTGAGCAGACAGGGAGAGTAAATTTATGAGTGTTTACTTGCTAAGGCAGAAAATGTATCTGAGAAGAGTGAAACACTGAAAATCTAGATTTAACTCTAAACAATAAAGCTGTTCGTGTGGTAAAGACAGGTCTGAGGACTTAGGGGACAGGCTACACAAAAAAGCCAAATTACCTAGTGTTTCTAGGGCAGCTGCTAAGAACACAGATGCAAACGTACGCAGATGGCTCCATTTACACAAGGAGCTGGTGAGTCTGATGAGAATGAAGACCTTCACGGGTACAGAAGTCATGATAATAAGCACAGCATAGGAAGTGGTTCCTTCTTGTGTTTTGTGAAGTTGAACGTAGACTGGTTGACACATGTGCCCACGGTGTTAATGCTCAGGTGGGAGCAATGCTCTTACACAACCAAAACATCTTACAAGTCCATGAAGCACACCGATTCATCTCATTACTCCATTTATAGTGTCATTCTCCAGGAATGAGGATTCTGCAAAGACTTAAGTAACAGCCATGTAGATGGCAACTAACACTGTAAAACAGACCCACTCCTTGAGCTAAACGGCACCCAATCTGGTGCCTGGCTCCAGGAACAGGATGCGCCATGCACAGAGAGCTGGAGGACGTGGTGTGGAGGCTGGGGGACGTGGCAGGAAGCTGGGGGATGTGGCGGAAGGCCAGGAGACCTGAGGGCGAGAGGCCGGAGGACATGGTGGGAGGCTGGAGGACGTGGTGTAGAGGCTGCAGGCATGGCAGGGAAGAGAGCTTTCGAAGCGACTGAAAACAACGCATCACACGCTCCGAGAAAAATGCTTAGCGTAGCTTACCAGCAACACTGCAGCCAGGACGTGCCTCTGGACGTCCTCAAGGCGCCCGTGCTGTGGCATGTGCCGGAGCCCCTCCTTCCTAACATCCTGCTGCCACACATCTGTGTTCTGCTCCTTGCTTGTCCACGGATGGGCATGAGGCCGCTCTGCCTGTCCAGCAGCTGTCTACAGACTGGACACAGATGCTCTTTGAGGACACGTTTTCTGTTCTGGGGCACACCCACAAGTGGACTGCTGGGTCACACTTTTCTGAGACACCATCATGCTGTTTTCCACAGTGGCCGCTCAAGTTTACATGCCCAGCCAAAGAGAATAAGGGCTCCCGTCTCGACACATTCACCCCACACTCTGTGTGCTGCTGTTTCTGGCAGCAGCCATCTGGCAGGTATGAGTGGCATCTCACTGTGGCCAGGGACCCTGAGCGAGTTCTCTGCACTCACTGGCCACCACACACTGTCTTTGGAGAAACGTCTGAAGTTCTCTGCCCACTTTTTAGCTGTGTGTCGAGCTCTTACTGTTGAGTTGTGGGAGTTCTTTGTACATGCTGGATATTAACCCCTCGTCACAGCTATGCTTTGCAGATGTCTCCTCCCATGCCAGGGGCTGCCTTTTCACTTGTTGACAATAACTAACACATATAAGCTTTTAAGCATTGGCAAAGTCCAATTTACCTGGTTTTTTTTTTCTCTTGTTGCCTGTACTTTTGGTGTCATATCAAGAAATTGCCAGATCTAATGTCATGAAGGTTTCCTCTATGCTTTCTTCTGATAATTTTATAGTTTTATGTTAATTTTTGTATAGGGTGTAAAGTGTTCCCAGCCACACATGTCAGAAGGAACATTATTTTTATTTTTTTTACTTATATATATATATATATATATATATAATTTTGAAGATGTGGGGTACAATTCAGGATTAGGTATACAAGTGGTCATTGTACAGGTAAAGTTTGGGACTCCCTTTGGTCCCCACTTTGTCTGGTTTGAGATCAGGTGCCCTTATTGATGTTGTGTCCCTCCCTACCCCTGCCCGCCCAGAAGGAACATTCTTAAAGAGCTACACCAATACACGATTTCATCCACTCACTTCTGCTGAAATTTTAATCTTTAGAAAACTTGTTTAGTAGAAAATGATCTCAGTTTGCATAAATCAATGACTGATGGCCTGGACATTTGTGGAAAGGAAGGTATCTGCCCCCCACCACCCAAGCACATACAATTTGTGATTTCAAACATTAAAAAATGATGCCATCTGTGCAGCATGACTTTCTCAATGAATAACAACAGTATGCGCAAAGGACTCTGCACGTGGAAGCTAAAGAGCAACACGACACAAAAGCTAAACGTGGTTGGCGTGGGTTGTTACCAAGGTCTCAGAAGCAGTTACCCAAAAGGCAGTACTCTCCACGCCAACACTGTTCTCCGGTTTGGAAGGAGCGACGAGCTTAGGAAGTAGCTTATGAGCAGGTATGTTCTGTCGTGAAACTGATACTCCCACCGGCCCAGGGGGCCAAGGGCATAAGCCGAGACGCTGGGCCTGAGTCTTGGTGTGGATATACGAGGCTGGCTGCAAGCCCCAGCGCAGGGAGAACCCAAGGATATTGACTTCAAGTCACTTTTCCTTAATTCTGAGCATCCAGCCGCAGTTTAACTCAGGGCCTCCCTCTGCTGACCTCCCGCATCAGGTTGGACTCCCTAGGTCACAGCCCACTCTGCTCGGAGGCACTGGAGTCCAGGACCCCAGCAGAGCCATTTCTAGCTCGTCTCAATGACCGACGCAACTGAAACTGCTCCAGCTGACACACCTAAGGCAGCCAAGGCACAGAGGTCCAGAGACCCCACTCAGACTCACACCGCTGTCCACCTCAACAGGCTGTGCTGGTGCTCCCTGGGCAGCAGACACGAACACTTAGGACCACGACACCAGCGAGGGACACACTGCAGGCACTGCTGAATACGAGGGGCAACATGGCCCCAGCCAAGACTCCTGACAGCCCCCAAGATGTCTGCTGGGAAGCAGAGACTGCAGGGACCATGCCATGACAATGCACGACATGGCCTTCATATCCTCACCACAGAATGAGAAGCTGGTGATGCAGTGGACATGCCTGTCAGCTCGGGTGAGCCTTTCCACAAACCATACACAGATCAAGACAGCACACTGCACTACATAAACGTACAACACTTATTTGTCAGTTAAACATAAAGTTTAAAAAACAAAAGTAACTCACACCTTCCTGGGGGTAGTGAGTTTACAGTGTGCTTTTCTTCCACAAAAAACCAACTCCTGCCGGGCTCAGTGGCTCAGCCTATAATCCCGCGCCTTTGGGAGGCTGAGGTGAGTGGAT